AAGAGTACTCCTCAATGGAGCAATATTAATATGAAGAAGGTTTTCAAAGGTTTCACACCGGTTTGAGGCTAAGATGTGCGGCCTGTCTCTCCTTGCAATTTTTACTTTTTGAGTATATACATTATGACATACAACACTCGTTTTGTATTCCAAACGAAAAATTAGTATAACAGCACCGGGGCCTTTTGACAACGAAAGTCATCTCCAAGCAAGCGAGACTCAGCGCTACTCAGAGAGCGTTCTTGTTTTATTAAAAACCCCACAAAAACTCGTTGAATCTCCCCTACTAGAACTAACCGGAAAAGACAAGGGACTTCCGCTATTCACATGTCACACGTCTATCAAAACTGTCAACAAGCGAACGGACTCGCCTGGACTGCATGAATGAAAAAATCGAAACATTGCAGCAATGAACATTAATTTTTAAAAAACTCATCTGGATTCTAGCATTTTACAAAGCAGGACAGCTAAAAAATCCGGGCAGATAATGTGAAGGAAAAGAATTTTTAAGTGACAGCCGTCGAAATTACTGTGAATTTGGATTTTCGGTGCAGTTACAAAAGTAAGCACAACGGAGAAAAACTGTCACCTCAGTCGCTTCTTATGAAGTTGTTTGAAGCCACAAGCTGGTTTTGCAGAACGAGAAAATAAGCTATACTGCCGCCTCGATTGCTCTAGTGAATGGCTGCATAGCCTGTATTTGTAGCTGGTTACTTGTGATTTATATTCTTGATGTCGGATAAACAAGCCGCAGTTATCTATCGGCGAGTGACTCAATCGGCGAATGGCTTCGCAATCATGAAGAAACAACACCTGTCTTCTTTCGTGGCTGGTCAACGTACTTTAGTTCCATGTATTTTCACGTGTTTTTCGACAAACTTTCAAACAAGCTCTTGTGGCTTTTTTGTTTGTTTTTGTCTTTTTTCTTTCGATGAAATTGCATTTCTAGTATTCTAAGAAATGAATTAAAACGATTTGCTTCGGGCGCCGTTCTAACCTTCGCGAAAAAAAATCTCAGCTAGCTTCCAATTTTAAACTGACGCATACATCGACCATATATGGAGAGCATGGTATAATAGTTCATATACCATAACGGCTAAGCCAATCAAAATACTAGAATTGTATTATCCAATGATTCAGTTTTTAATAAAACAATTATATTCCACCCGCGCTTGTTGGATATAAGATCTAGATAGCCAACGAGGCGCTACGCGCTCATGTCCAAAGCGCACTCGTGGAATAATTGTTAAATAGATAATATTTGGATACTATCACGTCATACTGCGATTACAGGATCCTGCAAAGGTTCTATTTATGTTGTCACAAATTCATTTGGTTGCTGATGAAAATGTTTTATGTTTTCTTCCTTGTAAATTCCCAGGGGTTTAAATTGTTGAAGCAGAACAAGATGTGGTCAGATATTTTCAGATATGAGGGCTCTTGATTGTTCTGGAAGAAAAAGAATGATACAGTGCTTATGAATTTTGTCCGTAATCTTTCGATGGTTTGGATCAATTTACGTTTCTGGGAAACCGTCCACCCACCCCTCCCCTAAGCTAACATTAATACTTGCTTCTCACCAAGGGCAAAATGATGGCTTAGGGGAGGGGTAGGTGGGTAGTTTCCTAGAAACCTAAATTGATCCGATGGCTTATGCAACGCGGCCTTTGGGTGGAGGCAATACTCATGACAAAAGGATTTTAAGGGGAAAGGTTGGGTTACATAGTGCACGAGTCTATAGGGGGACTGTAAAGGGACGGAGAACCACCTTTCACATTAATTGTACAATCGGCTTTATTCCCGTCCTATTGATCACACAAATCTGCTTTTGCCGACAAAATTAAGATGGCCTCCTTATACAGTTACTACTCCTTTATGGTAAGCTAGATTGTGACAGATCTTAAAACAAGGAGAGGTATTTAAGGGCGCACCTCTTGCTGTCGTGTAGTTCTTACAGCAGGATCCTCAAGGTAAAAGCAAAAAACTCAAAGGTGCCGATATCTTTATTTATTTCTTTATTTTTTGAAAAAAGTTGTTGGGCTTACAAGGAAATGCTCCTTCCAAGACCTGATGCAATTAGCTCAGTCTAGCTACTGCTTAAATAAGGAAAAATTGTAACCGACGGATGATTCTGTTTCTCCTGTTCGTATTTTTGACTTCGGGTTCTCCTCTGTCGACAATCAGTTAAAAAGAAATAAAATAAATAAAAAAAACCCCTTTTTTAGAATGCCAGACATTCATTGTCTTCCCATCAGTTCATGTTAGAAAAAAGATGAAGTACCAGCGAATGACTATATATTTACTCTTGTTTGCACAAAATTATGGTACTATTTTAATCTATATATCTATGGGGCAATTTCCTACCCAGCATGGACAAAAGAGCCGAATCCCTGCTACGAAGGCCACTATTTACGCTTAAGTACATATGATCGCGTGCATTGTTTAATTTTGGATCGCCGTTATGGTGCTGATTTGCTAAATAAGCGATAACAAGACTAAATTGCGATCGAAAGCTGTGTTTTGAAATACACCTGTTCTATAAGCAGCGAATGGAACAAGGACGACAGTCTCGCCTTAAAGATGTATTTTTACCTCTACTTTGCGTCAGTACTTTCTATTTGTAAGGTGAGTTATCAGAAGAATTTTTTTCCCCAAAAATAAGGGAAAAATATTATATTTAAATCGGAATCGTTTAAACAGAGATTGGCCGCATTAAGGAAACTTGAGACTATGCTAGCTAAGGGGGAAAAAATTTGATAATAAGAGCTCTTACTGTTATTTTTACTATTTGTTCTTTCTATATTTGAGATACACTGATTTCCAGAAAATAAGCGTCTCCGAATTTAAGCCCCTCGGAGAGGATCTAGCAGAGAAGAATAACTAGGTATCGAACTTATTATTTATAGGATTCAGGCTTGGCTTTTTTTTTTCTTTCTGTTGTGCTTCGTTGTAAACTAAATATCGTGGTTAAACTACCTCAGCTCAAAACTGAAAGGGTGTCATTTGTCAAATGCTTGTATAACTTACATAGGATGAATGATACCTGGTTTCTTACTTTTGATGAATTTTGGTTTCTAAATTGAGACAGCTGGTTCTTTCTATTTCAGCCAGGTGAGATTCTTAAATCAAGCATTGTTTAGTTGAGTTTCGTTTACGTGTGGATCGCCTAAGTAACAACTAAGTTCACAAACACTATAAACAAAAGACTTAAGTTGTTGTTGTTTTTCTCTTTGCTGTTCTATCTAGCCTGAAAATGGTTTAATGCTATAACATAACTTTTGGTATCCTAAAGCGATAGTTATTAAGTTAATGAATGTATATAATTGGAAAACATTAGAGTTTTAAAAAATACTGCAAGATTAGTGCTATAACTACCTCTATCCTGCCCCAAAAGGTTTATGTTAGAACACAACTCAGAGATGTTTATCAGGGAAATCAGCATCAATTGCCGGAAATCCTTATTTTCTTCATTCAAGAGAAATACGAAAGAGCGCGTGCTTGAAAATGGTTAACAGTTGTTCCGCGTGTGGGAAATATTGTCGTCTTTCCTTGTGGGGGGCTATTTTCCGTGCGCTATTTTTTTCGTTTTTTCTTCGGAAACTAAGACACTACTCAAATTCTACTTCGTGAAATAGTGGCTTAAGTCATCTTTTCCTTTATGACCTTTCCTTTTTTTCCCACAAGGCCTCTAGTTACCAGTTCAGTCTCCAGAGTTCCACCCAATGGCAGTTTATCGGAAGAAAAGTCCAGTTGTGCTTAACTATGGACATCCCCGAGTCTACCCCCATAAAATGTAAGATCAAACTCCCATTTAACGGCACTGCTATAATGCGAATCACAGAAGTCCAGTTCGTTGCCGTCAGCAAACACCTTACCGCCAGCATCAACACAACCACACTTATATCTTCCGCAAATGATGATGTAAATGATATTGGTTGGATTGACCTTGGAAATGTCACGCGCGGCTCATCTGAAAACGGCACTCAGATTAAGATCGAATTCAAAGTTCAGGTAATGAATCACGCGCATATCGTTAACAGAGACGTGCAGTGGGTAAGCGTCGGAGTTCAGTACATAAACCAATCCGTCTGGGCATCTCAGCTTGGGATTAAAATCATTTATCCAGGAAGAGTCAAGAAACCAGATTTAAAGTTCTCTTTCTGGGCTGATATTGGAGGTCTTAGCATTATAGCAAGGTATGTCTGTCTTAAGCACCACCTTTTTTCCGAAAAAAAATAATAAATAAAGAATCACAACGAGAGAGTTTTTCTCAGCCTCAATACTTCCAGTCAATAATCACAAGTTAAACTCTCCCTACACACCCCCGCTTAAGTTTGCAAAAAAACTGTTCCGCCATCCCTGTACCTTATCTCTTGTATACGAAATCTTAACACACGGTTTAATTATTTTATACCCTTCCAAATAGGGATGAGGCTATCTATCGACTGATATTGTACCATTCCGATTTGACCACTGATGAAGTGGTGAGTGGGATAATTGAATGGCCTTTGCCTCCTGTTCTCCTACTAAAAACATGGCAGAAAGTTGGTTCGTCAATTAATATGGAAGTCATGAACGATACAGAGACTGTTGTCATGAAGGTGAGGATGATTGGCCTAGGTAATAAATATCTCTTATTTTTCATTCAAAATATTTTTCCGTTTCTGATTGGCTAAAAGTACACGTTTAATTCACCATAACCAGTTACTGATGACCAAATTTGGAAGAATTTTGTGTTTAACGAGGAACTGACGTCAAAAATGCAGCGTTTTCGCAGGTTAAGGCATCGTTAACCGAGAAGACCTGGGGACGAGGTTAAGTTGTTTTGCTTGTGAACTTGAAAAATGGCGGACATTTCACTCGTTTCAAGAGTAAGAACTAGGCGAAAAAATAGCTAAAAACATGGCAAGAACAGCAAGAAGACAACTCGAAGGGCGACATCTGCTATTTGGAGAATATTTGCGGACCTGCACAAACCTAAACGTGCACTATCGAAGATGAACTTAACATCGATGGATCGATGGAGGTAAGCATGTTTTAGCGATGTTTTTAAACTAGGTATTATTTTGAATGAATAATAAAACAATTATTGAATTCGACTTTCGTATCATATGAAGAATTATGGAGATCTTGGAGGGTGTTATCTACCTCGGCCTACGGCCTCGACGGATAACACCCTCCTCGATCTCCATAATTCTTCATAAGATACTCAGCCTCATTCATTAATTGTTAATTATTAGCCGAGTTTTCGGTGCGTACTGTAAATTACGGACCGAGTTTTTTTCCATCAATTTATGGCCCAAGCGCGAAGCGCGCGGGCTATAAATCGATGGAAAAAAACGAGGATCCGTAATTTACAGTACGAACCGAAAAAACGAGGCTAATAAGATGTTTATTATATGGCTTCTTCCTGTTTGGGGGACCGGAAACAGGTGCAGGACGCACGATTTGACAGTCATTTGACAGGTGTCAAAAAAGAAAGTTTTTATTGGCGCACGAAAACAATAGCACATAACAAAGGCTTTCCGAAAAAGTAAAAACAAATTCGCCATTGCCTAATTTCATACCGTGGGAGCCTGGCACTAGTTATCAGTTTTGCCGGACGGAAGTGCAAAAAGATGGCGGGAAATGTGAAAGAAGACTCGCCCAAAATGGCTTTTGCAGCAGTAAAAAAAGTCATAAATGATGATTGCCTTGAATCACTCAACACAAAAAACTTGGGAGAACTTTGTAATAGTCTTAAACTTAAAGCTTCCGGGACTAAAAGTGAATTGTTACAAAGATTGCTACCATTTAAAGATGACCCGGCTTTGCTCGACAACAGAGTGAAGAACATCTCTGTGAAGTACAGCTTTACGACAGCCCTATCGAGACAGGAGATCCCACCACCAACAGCTGGATGGAAATGCAATACTTCTCTCTTTCCCAAGATTTCAAAAGACGTTATCAAGACATATCAGTCTAATAAGCGACAGGGAATGATAGGACAATTTCGCAAAGCTCATCGAATGTTTTCTTCAAGACGAATGAAAACCATCAAGGTTTTCAAAAATGGTAGCCAGTTATTTGTCAAGTCAAGCATATTAAAAAGCTTTTCTTCTGAAGTTACACGAACTGCAACTGTCTTGTTCATTGACAATGTTCCCAAGAAAGGTTTTTGCGAATGTGCTGTCGGGAAGTGTGGTCTCTGTTGTCATGTTATCGTTATACTGCTACAGTTAGAACACTTCACAACACATAAAAAGCTGTTTTTGTCTTTGACCTGTACAGAGAAGCTTCAAATGTGGCATCGACCAAATGTAAAGAAAGGGAAAGAGGTAAAAGCTAACTTGAAGGCTGCTGCTCATATCAGACTCAAATATTTTAGAAATGCCAAATCAGCAAGACATGTAAATCAAAGAACAAAGAAGAAAGTTGTAGCTAGAGATGTAAGTGATGAAAACAGTGACTGGCTGAAACGAGATATTTCCTCCATGAGCTCTCAAGTAGTAGATGGCCTGTCTAAATGCAGAATCAATTTATCAAATCATTTTCTTAAAACTCTAGAGAAATTTAAAATAAGACACTCAGGATTGTATCACCATTTGTCTTACAAAAATGCTTATCTGAACAGAGTTATTCAAAATGAACATGACTACACAAAACTAAATCCTCCAGCAAACCTGGAACAAAACTCCAAAACACCTTCTGAGTGTGAGGATAAATGGCACTCTTCATTGATAGCCAATTCTAACAACTCTAACCAAGATAATTGCACAGTGGGACAGCCTACTTCAGAATGTCAAGAGCAAATATTTTGTGCAGATAAAACTCAAGAGTTGTTAGAATTGCTTACAAACTCTAAAGATGAGATTATAGCTGTTAAGGTCCCTCAGCTTAAAGAAGTCAGACTAACTACAAGTGCAAGATACATTGATGTTCAACAAGGCACTTCTGATTGGCTTAACCTGAGGACGGGGGTAATAACAGCAAGTAAACTACCATCACTCCTGGGTTTTCATGGAAACAAAGAGTTTGATTCATCATGGTTTTATATTCTAAACAAGATAGATGAAAGTAAATGTAAACCAAAGCAATACAGAAACTTTCAAAGAGGAAACTACTATGAAAAAGAAGCTTTAGAGCACTTTCAGAAACTCTCTGGTAAGTCAGTTTATTCGAAAATATTAATAGTAACACAATACTCTGAAATTTAGCAAATAAGTATATTACCAGCATATCATGCAGTTAATCATGTACATAACATAATCAAATAGGAATACACTTACATGAACATAAATGTAAACAAAAAAATTAATGTAAGTTTGAGTAATCATGTATTGATTTCTATTTTTTTCTACAGGTGTCCCAGTCTCAAGTTGTGGGTTTTTCAGACATCCATCAGACACAAACTATGGAGCAAGTCCTGATGGTATTTCAGAAGCATTTCTCGTTGAGGTCAAGACAAGAGCAGAAAACTCTGAAGCCCCATTAGACAAAATCACAGGCTCACATATTATTCAAGCAAATTTTCAGATGTCTTGTGCAGGAGCAAATCTTGTATTTTTGCAATCTTATCACCCTGAAAAGAAAAGTTCAAATATATTTTTCATACCCAGAAATGACCTGCTTATAGATGTCTTAAAAGAAATAACTGATCATATTTTACATCACAAAATTGTAAGTAAGTGGGATTATGAAGAGAATAACCATCTCTCTGAACTTGGAAAGAACTTATTAAATACTGTCCCTAGCTTTGACACATTACGTCAATTCCGTAAGTGGGTAAACCAAATGACAAAGCATATAAAGAAGGTAGTCTTTGTTAAAACATAGTCATGTAATATCAACAGAGTTTTTTGGAACTAGTTGTAGTTGTTTTATTTTGGTCCAACTGGTTTTTTTAACATATTAACAATATGTGCAAATATTTGGAAACAGCAACCAAGTAAATCAATTCTTGAGCTTGGCCAAGTTTTGCTTAGAATTTGCCAATCTCTGATTCTTCCTATGTAGTTTTCAATGTAGATCCTCAATGTTGCAATGTCAAAGTTCTTTACTACCTCAGTCTCATCGAATTGATGAGAAAATTTCATTGGAGGTCTATTGTGTAACAGGCCTTTCTCATGACAAATATCTGTGATATTAAAGCCCTTGTCAGTCATAACTGTCTTCCCTTTTGTGACTGTATCTAGCACACATGATTGCTCTGTTATGTCAGCATCACTAATGCTGCCAGGAAATGCATCGGTACATTTGAGTAAAAAACCAGGAGGAAGGGTCCACAAACATATCTTCCCTGTGGTGTGGTTCTTGTAGTTCGAGAATGTAATATTATTAATATCAAAGTTCTCTGATTGGGAGATCCAAATTTCAGTTGCATCCCCTATGAGAGCAGTATCACCATATCCTGACTCCATAAAACATTTTGGCATATAGTCATTCAAAAATCCAGGTAATGGGGTCAGGTCAATAGACTCAAAAATGGTGCTCAGGAATACACACCATCCTACAAAAATTCTACTCATAGTTGATATACTTGAACCAGTCATCCATGCAATAACACCAAGGTCCAATGCATGTCTACAAATTGTCAAGAAACTGATAAGTTCTGTCTTTGTGTCCAGCTTTCTAAGATAGGACGAGTCGTCATTGTTACAATCAGGATAAACAATTGTGTGCAAGAAAGGCTCCAAACATTCATATAGACAATCTAATTCGGAAAGTGATAATCCTGTCATATAGTAAATTCTATCTGGGTATCTCATAAGTGCTTCATAACTAAAAGTTTGGCCTTCGAGTGCTTTCTTCATTGCATTGAGTTGCTGACTGTTGTTCGCAGCATTTTTTTCAAGTTCTGTTTGAGTCTTTGACAGCTGTTGCTGTAAATCTTCAATCAAAGCCTTTTTTCCATTTAGTTCTCTCGTCAAACTTTCCACTTGACTTTTAAGCTTCTGATTTTCTTTTTCTACGTTCGCAGCTGAAACCCGTCGCTTTTTAACACGCGGTACGGGAGTTTCACTCCTGTCTTTCGGGGGTTTCCTTGGAGTACTCCTCACGGTATTGGCATTCGACGAAGTAAGAACCGTTTTTGTACAGTCAATTTTCCTTTTCAATTCCCTAGATGGTTTTTGGGAGTACTCTTTTTCCAGATTAGCAGCATATTCTTTTGTACAAATTATGTCTGGCAATTGATTCTTGTTCTCTCGTTTCCCCGAGCTCCAGTGAGCGCTGCATATAACATGTTTTCTCCAGTTAATATTTTCGTTCATAAGAACTTTCCTATATCCTTTTTGAAGCTCAGGATCGCTGGGCAAAGTGTAGTACGTTATTCCTTTAGTTCTGTAATTATTCGTACACAAAGAACTGGCACAATTCCAATGCCAAGTTTTCGTGTAAGTCGCCATCTCTACGCCATCAAACTGAAGTGCACTTCCGTCCGGCAAAACCGATAACTAGTGCCAGGCTCCCACGGTATGAAATCAGGCAGGTCAAAACTAAGAGCACTGTAAGTTTTAGCTCTTCTCTTGGGCAAAACATCTGGAATCTCTGCCAGTCGATTTTCGTCTTCTTAACTGTGTACTACGATAAAATTTTCAAACACTGACTAGAATCCTCCTCGATAAGATTACGAGTTAGTTTCTTCATCGTCTTCTTTCACAAATAAACACAGTTTAAAATGTTGAAGGCCAAAGTCAACATCCAAGTCCTCAAGGTTGACAGGCGTCTTATAACTTTATTTAAACATTTTTTCCCGAGGTAAGGAGATTTAGACCTCCGAAATGAGCATTTCTTTAAACATTTTGGTCCGTATAGCAAGTTACGGACCGCAAATTGACCAATCGCATGGCGAAAACAGACTCAGCCATATAATAATGGCTCTTATCTAAACAGAATCAATCCTCCCCTCTCCCCTTACAAGTCTGCCTACTTGTCTGTATTGCTTGTACCACTTATTTTAGCTTCTACATTTTTTGTTTTTTCCATGCCGCCCACAGGCGTTTTTTTCTTTTTCTTTTTTCTAAACGCGACCTAAAGGTACGTGGAAGAGGGGCAGGCAAGGGAAAGGGGCGAAGAGAAAATTGAGAAAAAAAACTAACCCTAACCCTCCCCTTCCCCTATTTTGACGCGTCAACCTCTCGGTCAATCGAAAGTCCAAATCTATCGCACAGCGGGGAGTAAGCAGCATATTCAGCTTTGAAATTGAGTTAGTAGTCAATTTTAATCAATAATAGCCAAAAGCATACATTTGTAGTCTCAAGCACAAAGCCTTTATCTTTCATTTCCAGTGTCAAAATATTTAATGAATTTATGGTCAGTAAGGGTCTCTAGTCTCCATTCTATTTGAAACTTATTGCTTTTCAGTTTGGAGAACTCAAGTTTGCAGATACAATCGACCTCAAAGTCACCTTTTATCTCGACTTACACAAGATGAGAGCTGACGGAAAAGTCCATAACTTGACAATACACTTAAATATCAAGTATAACGGGACACCAAACGCGTGCAGCTCTTTATCAGCTTCTCGCGAGTTTATTTATGACAAACTGGTAGCTGCTTCTATCAAGTATTACGTCCCACGTAAGTTTAAACATTTACCATTGGAAGTCACGAGGTGCATGCGCATTCCCGAGAAGTGTTGCAGAACAGTGTTTTGGGAATGGGGACTCCAGGAAAATTCACTTTGGATATTATCCAAGCCCGAATATATTTCACAGCCAAATTTCGTTTTTCCTTCTCGTATTTTAAACCTTAACAAAAGCATTAACCCTAGGACAAAAGGGCTTAAAATTTAAAAAAAACATATCCTTTGGAGCCAAGCAGACCTCTATACACTGTAGCTACTGTGATAAAGTTCCCCTTTTCATATTGACTTGTCTTCATTCACTTATTATATCTCATTTATTCCATTCCATATTGCATTTTATACTCCATTATTTATAATAAATAAATAAGTAATCAAACGTCAGATCGAGTGGCTAAAAAAGGTACGAAAGAAAATCGTCCAAGTAGTTGTATCACTATTTGAGTCAAGAATGCTTGTGAAGAAAATAACATTCGACTTGAAAAGCACAATTGAAATTTTGTTATTCAAAACTGGGAATTGAAAAAATTAGTGCTGATTCTGGGATAAATGTCATGCAATCTTGTTATTAATGGCATGGGTTCTTACCATTTAATTTACACAAGCCACAAGGATGCCAATCTTGTGCATAAACATAAAACTATAAAATTTAACGTTGTAGAAGAACGATGCGCTCCGATGTATCTAAATCAGCTGTGCACACTAACAAGAGTATAAAGATATCATTCGCACATCAAATCACAGCCCCAGTTTTCTGAAACTTCCTAAACGGAATGATGCGAACCATCTGATTTTCCAACCAGAATTTTCGACTTTTCCGTCTTTCTTCTTCTACCCTACCCTCCTTTAATAAAAAAAAAGTTTACTTTGGGCTACTTGGGATTCTCTTTCTTGTTTTGTTTTTGTTTTTGTTTTTGTTTGTTTGTTTTTTTCTGTAGAGGGATCATGTGACGAGCCCCTTGGAATGACGGATGGTAGCATCACTCATGCCCAGATCACCGCCTCGTCCCATTCCACAGACGGGGAACCTTTTGAAGCCAGGCTGGACGGTGACAATGCTTGGATACCGTGGATGATGCTGTCGTAAGTTTCCAGACATACATATTTGTGTCCTAATCTTGCGTTTGCAGAGTTTGCTCAAGGACAGTTGTGTCACTGCTCTTTACCTCACTATACTTGCGAATGACCAAATCACCAATTCGTGTCCGAAAAAATGTCTCCCAAGCATAATATGCAAGAAATAGTTGACACTACAGTTGCCCCCGCTCTGTATGTTGTCGGTGAATAGTATTCTTGGTCGTTGTGTAGCCCTTTGAAATATACTATCCTAATTCGTAATGAACATGCACTGATTCAGTTCGATTTATTTAGCTTTGATCAAAACATCCTCAGTTTTCTAAACCATAAGAAAAGATCTGATTAGAAGTTGGAAGTTTTCGCTATTAATATCTCTCTCGACACGAAGAGAGAGAAATAAGAAAAAGAGTCGAAGTATGACTGTACAATTAGTGTCACAGTGTTTTGCGTCATCCTAACCATCTCTTACTTGCGGGCCTGAACAATAGAAATGTCATCATTATCCAACGATTCTATGAGGCCCCTGATCAAGTAAATCGAGATTTTTTTCTGTATACTGATCGTCTATTTCAGCTGTACGTGTTTTTCTACATATACGCGTGAGCTACTAGGATGCCTGCAGGGGCAAAAACGTTATAAAAAAATGAGCCTGCCCTCTCTTTTTTCCAGAATCCTTTACAATCTTTTTTCCCGAATCCTGTTTGTTGAGACATGCCCTGTTTTGACTGTTTGCTGTTACTTATATACCTTCTTTGTTTGAGTGGTTCTTTTCATGTTTCATTTAATTTGGTAGCAGTTCCCACCGTTTGAATTTTGATGTATTTTTTGACAGCTATCTTAACGCGCCTCTCAGAATTTGTT